CACTGGCCCCACTGGTTGTTTAACAGGCTTCCTGCTTCTGATGTACTTAAAAATTTTTTGCTATTACTTTTTAAGTCTTTGGCTATCTGTTCTTCAAATTCTTTTTTGGCCTTCCTAATCATATTTTTACACTTCATTTGCCAGAGTTTATGCTCCTTTCTATTTTCCTCACTAGACTTTTTAAAGGATATCATTTTGTCTCTCACTGCTTCTTTTACTTTGTTGTTTAGCCACAGTGGCACTTTTTTGGTTCTCTTATTAGGTTTTTAATTTGAGCTATACATTTAAGTTGAGCCTCTATTATGGTGTCTTTAAAAAGTTTCCATGCAGCTTCCAGGGATTTCACTTTTGACACTGTACCTTTTAATTTCTGTTTAACTAACTTCCCTGTTAATGGGCAATTCAATTACAGAGACATACATAATGCATTTAGTTATTTAGTTACAGCCATCCAATCTTTCATTAGTATTTATGAATAATGTGATAGCCATAAACAATCCTTCATTGGTTTTCATGCAGTTCTTCACATTGACTAAATTCTCAACTAAACGCTAATACATCCTTTGATCTAGGGCTAATTTAGTACAGGGATATATATAATGCACATTGTAATGTAATAACATTCAAGAGGTTATACATAAATGAAGACAATACCATCACATTTCCTTTGAATTAAAGTAACACTCACGTAAATTTGTATACTTAACATTCCTTTGAGATTCACACACAAGTTACTTGACCTATTGCTCTGACCTGAGCTGGCAATCTGTTAGACAACATCACAGTTGAGGACGTATGATGAAAATGGGTTATACTGATTGAGTTATGTTAGTATAACATGCAAAAATCTGCTCTCAGATGTATTTGAACAGCTCCCACTAAGTTCAACTTTTAAAAATTGTGCTGTTTGAGTAATGAGAGTCATGTCTTTGTTTTGAGTATTACTATTAAATCCCCCCCCCCCCCGCGCATCTGAATTAATGCTATTTTGTGCTCATTTAACTTCACTTCTTCAATTAGCCAGAAAGGGTCACCAGACAGCAAACTGATACACTAAAATGCCTTCCCAGCTCCTATTCAAATGAAGGGAAAAATGTCTGACTGACTTTAATGAGGTAGAATTGGGCCCTGTGTGCATACCCTCCAGAAGAGCATCTCCAGGTCCTGCTGGCCAAAAGGCTCAGGACTAGGCCCGCCAATGGGGGAGGGGGGGTGGGCAAAGGCGACAATTCTCCAGGGGCCCGGGCTCTTTTAAATCGCCCGAATGGGCCGTAGGGCTCCTAGGCTCATGCAAACCGCTTCAGGCCCTACGCTCTGGGGGACTTGCAGGCTGGCGCAATTCGCCAGTGCGGGCTGTCCCAAAAGTGACAAATTCATCACTTCCATCCCAGGCCCCGCCCCGCCTAGGGCCAGCCTTAACCCTGGAGCCCAGAATTTCTGTCAGCAGGCCTGCTCAGGACTGAGATTAAATGCACGTGCAGCAGCATGCTGCATTGCCTGGAAGAGCCCTACTCCAACCTTAAATAACATTAATTTCTTTATCCTAAATTAAGAAGAGTTGCTTTTAGCAACCTTAATATTAATTAATGACATTCAGGATTGTCTGATTCAATGGTCAAAGAAGCTCTTCTGTATTTTAGATAAATATTGACTCTGCCCAAATGTTATAATAGATCTGTCTCTGAGCCATATATTCCTCAGTTGAAATCTCCTGGGAAAAGAGATGTGGTATTTACAGATATATTTACCTGGAATTAGGGGACCTTCTATAGACTGTAACAATCTAAGGGGCTCTTCAGAACACAAGCTCTTCGGGAAAGGGCCAGGTCTTTCACTTGTTTTTGTGAGACACCTACCCCATATTGTGTGCACTCAAAGAATAAAAAATATTGATGATTTCAATAAGTTCTTCAGGTACTATGTCTTTCTATACATTCTGTACATTCTATACATTCTCTCTTTCAGGTGACGTAGAAATAAATAATAATTGGTCAAATTTTGAATCCAGCTTTAGTCCTTCTAAAGTTAAATGCTTACTATTTAGTTATGATCTAGTTTTCTAGAACGTAATATTTTTATCAGTATGAAGAGGCTGAGAAGTACAGTGCATATTTTATCGAGAAGCATCTCTATTAACTGGTAGCAGTGGATGCGATGGTGGGAGACAGAAGTTTCTGCCAGGTTTATTGGATCAGTAAGGATTCCAAATGAAGCCTTCTCATCATCTGGTGAGGATGGCAGTGTGTACATGGCAACTCATGTTTAAAACCATTGGCACTACCCATCCAAAATAATGGAGCAGCTGATATGGGACTTGATTAATACAGAATTAAAAGAGAGTTATATAATTAATGCCAATTAACATGGGTTTATGGAAAATAGGTCCTGTCAAACTAACTTGATATCTTTTTTTGATGAGATTAGAAGTCAGTGCCAGAGTTGTCACTAAAGTGGGTTTATCTGACCAGAGTTCTAGGGACAGGCAAGCAGGATTGTTGCTATGGATGCAAACTTCCAGGGTGCATCACACCACTGAGCTTTTTGTGCTGCTTATTGGACAACCATTTTTTTTTTTTGGCTCAGCTGGTTGGGGTGGGAGCCCTGAAAATGATACAAGAGTCGTTCCTGAATCTGACTTATCAAGACCAGGAATCCTGACTTTCTATGGATTGAAAGAAGAAGGGTGAGCACGCACTGCACCATTAGGGTTGCCGGGTATCCAGTTTTCGACTGGAACGTCCAGTTGAAAAAGAAACCTGGCGGTTCCGGTCAGTGCTGCTGACCAGGCCACTAAAAGTGTGGTCGGCGATGCAGCGGAACTAAGGCAGGCTCCCTGTCTGCCCTGGCTCTGAGTGGCTCCCGGAAGTGGCCGGCACGTCCAGCTCCTCGGTGCATGAGCAGCCACGGGGGCTCTGTGTGCTGTCTGAGCGCTGGCTCCACAGCTCCCATTGGCTGGGAACCACGGCCAATGGGAGCTGCAGGGGTGATGCCTGCGGGCATGAGCAGCGCACAGAAAGCCCCCTGGCTCCTCCGCCTAGGAGCTGAACATGCCAGTGGCTTCTGGGAGTTGCCTGAGGTAAGCGCCACACGGCTGGAGCCCACACCCCGAAATTCCAGCCACTGCCCCAGGTTGGAACCCCTTCCTGCACCATAACTCCCCTCTGAGTCTGCACCCCACACCCCCTCCCATACCCGAACTCACTGCCCCAGCCCTGAGCCCTCTCTTGCACTCAAACTTCCTCCCGGAGCCTGCACCCCACATCTCCCTGCACAAACCCCTGCTCTAGTTCTGAGCCTCCTCCCACACCCAAACTTCCTTCTGGAGCCCAAACCCCCCACCCCAGCCCTGAGCCCCCTTCCGCATTCCAAACTCCTTGGCCCCAGCCTAGAACCCCCTCCTGTACCCCAAACCCCTCATCCCTGACCCCACCCCAGAACCCGCACCCCCAGCTGGAGCCCTCACCTACTCCTGCACCCCCTGCCTCAGTCTGGAGTCCCCTCCTGCACCCTGAACCCCTCATTTCTGGCTCCACCCTGGAGCCTGCACCAGCCCAGAGCCAGTACCCCCCACTATACCCCACCCCCCCTGCCTCAGCCTAAACGCCCTCCCACACTCCAAACCCCTTGGCCCCACCCCACAACCGGCATGCCCCTCCCACACCCTGAACCCTTCATTTCTGGCCCCACCCTGCTCTTCCACACCCCAGCTCCCTGCCCTAGCCCAGTGAAAGTGAGTGAGGGTGCAGGAGACCGAGTGACCGAGAGAGGGGGTAATCGAGTGAGCAGGAGGCGGGGCCTCAGAGAAGGGGCGGGGCCTTGGGGCAGGGCAGGGGGCGGGGAAAGGGAGTTCTGTTTTGTGGGATTAGAAAGTTGGCAACCCTATGAACCAACCAGGGACAGGATAGGGAGTTGTAGAAGAGCACTGCCTATCTAAACCCAGAAGAGTAGTGGGAGCTGTCCACCTGCTTTTAACAGTGGAGATGGAGGAGTAGGTGTAGCAGAGGGATAGCTCAGTGGTTTGAGCATTGGCCTGCTAAACCTATGGTTGAGAGGTTTCAGAGTAACAGCCGTGTTAGTCTGTATTTGCAAAAAGAAAAGGAGTACTTGTGGCACCTTAGAGACTAACCAATTTATTTGAGCATAAGCTTTCGTGAGCTACAGCTCACTTCATCAGATGCATACTGTGGAAAGTACAGAAGACGTTTTTATACACACAAAAAAATGTGTGATTATCACTACAAAAGGTTTTCTCTCCCCCCACCCCACTCTCCTGCTGGTAAGAGCTTATGTAAAGTGATCACTCTCCTTACAATGTGTATGATAATCAAGGTGGGCCATTTCCAGCACAAATCCAGGTTACCCCCCTCCCCCAACACACACACAAACCCACTCTCCTGTTGCTAATAGCTTATCTAAAGTGATGACTCTCCTTACAATGTGTATGATAATCAAGGTGGGCCATTGCCAGCACAAATCCAGGGTTTAACAAGAACGTCTGAGGAACGGAGATTCCTTGAGGGGGCCATTTAGGGATCTGGGGCAAAAATTGGGGATTGGTCCTGCTTTAAGCAGGAGGTTGGACTACGTAACCTCCTGAAGTCCCTTCAAACCCTGATATTCTATGACTGCACTTACCCTCTGCCCCCCCTCATATAACAGCTTGGTCTGGGGCAGCACCTCATCATTTTATGTTATGATGCTTTGCAATTGCATTATCCCTGAAAGCGAGTCTGGGCCCTGTTTAACAGCGTAGCAGTGTGACACGGAGGCCAGCAGGAAGGGAGAGGGGTACAGTGAGCTAGAAACTTCTTTTAAAATAGTAAGGTTGCTCCAGCAGGAGCCCCTGTCATGATGGAGCCTGTAGTCCAGGGACACGCCTCAGAGGGAGCATTGCATACTGGGAAATGTAGTTTCTTTCGGCGTCGTCCCCTCACGTGAGGGAAGGTCGGCCTCTTTGGGACAGGATGGAACGCTTTCCCGCTACGCATGCGCCGTCTCCTCGTTAGCGCCAGGGGGCGCGCGCGGTTCAGCCGCGGCCGTTGGCGATAGAAAGGCGCGAGGCGGCTGGCGCGGGGGACTGTTGGAGCAGCCATGTTGGGGCGGGCGAGGCTAGGCGGCGTGGCGGTCCTGCGGGCTCTCCAGCCCCTTGCCGCGGACCGTGGCTGCTTGGCAGCAGGAGCCGCCGCCTCCGCCGTGCTCCCGCACAGTGAGTCTGGGGGTCCCGCGCCCGGGAAGCGCTGGGGGGGAGGTTTCAGCCTGGTCGCACCCTCCCGCTGCGTCCGTCCTAGGGACGTCCCAGGCGCCCGCCGCCTCCTGGCCTCGCTGGTCCCCGAGCGCCCTGTTTCGTTGTGCTTTGCCCCTTGCTCGGAGCCTGCTGCCCCTTCACCTCCCGGGGCCCAGGGGCACCCACACCGACTGCACCGGGCGGGGCGCTCTGCAGCTCTGCTGGCTTCTTGGCGCCTGCCCCATTTGAAGCCTGCTCGGGGCTGGGGTGCTGGGCCGGGAGGGGCTGAAAACTCTGGGCTGGGAGGGAGGCAGGAGACCTGGTTCTCTGCTCCACCCGTGACTCCCCTAGTCCCTGCTTCTGAGCCGCAATGGGCATCTTGATGTTTCCCTTCTTTAGGCAGCGTGGGGGTGGCCTTCAGTGATATGTGCAGAACATGCTCAGCAGCTCTGTTGGAAGCAATATGGTTTGTTTGTTTTCTCCCAACCTTCATCTTTTTATTGCCCTTTTAATCTGAACACCTCTTCCCCCCCCCCCCCCCCCCCACGTACTTGTTCTGAGTATCCACTTCTGGGCTTAAAATGATCAGCACCAACATGTTATGCCAGTCAGCTCAGTGCTTGCTTTCATGTTTTTGGTTGTAAGATGCCCAAACATGGGTGTTAAAAAAAGTAAAAAGTCCCTTTCCACTAAGCACTGTATAATTAGCTAGGTGCAATGTGCTCTAAAGGGTTTTCTTCTTTTGAAGTATTAATTAGAAGGCCACTATCAGAGATACTGAACCTGATAGGTCGCTGATGTGATCCGGAGCAAAAAACCTTATGCTTCTTATCAGGGCGGTATTAGAACTTGATGCGCCGCCTTATCACTGATGCAGAGGCCCTGTGGAGGATGGTGAACGCTGCACCCATTTTTAAATTTTGCTTCTGTTGATTTGCGCATGAAATTAGGAATCAGGTGTACTTGTGGTTTCCCTGCCTATGATGTAATCTACTAGTAAAATAGCATCTGGATGTTTGTTTATTTAATCCTGAGTTCCCATAGTAAAACATCAACTTAGTCCCACTTCTTAAAGGTTTCTATTATGAAGAATGCTACATTTGTTCTGTTCCTAGAGTCTTTAACAAGTGTCACATTTGTACTTTAATTTAAATCTTGCTTATGTCAGTAAAATACATAAAATGAAGAGAGGGTCATGTTTCCAACTAATAGGCCAATTGTTCTAATTTTGATTCTGGCAATTACTTTTTGTTAGGGCGAAATTATGCAGCTAAGACTTCAGAGTCTGCCAAATCTGGTACTGCAACAGGGCGTATTGTTGCAATTATTGGTGCTGTTGTTGATGTCCAGTTTGATGAAGGCCTTCCTCCAATTCTCAATGCCCTGGAAGCGACAGGCCGTGAAACTAGATTGGTATTGGAAGTTGCTCAGCACCTTGGTAAGTCTGTCTTGTAAAGCCATGTGCTTTAATTGTTGGTCGTTGTTGCTATTTTCTCCTTTTCTCTAGCTTCGTTTTACCACTATTGACTCTAGGGTAGTTTGAAAGCTGTCCTGAAGAGATTTCCTTACTACCCACGACCCTTGTTCTATTGCACATTGTACTATTGAGGTCCCTTCTACCGTGCATTGTTGTACTTCCTCTAATCATTCTCCATGCACTTTGGATGTAGCATGCTCCCATCATTTCCCCAAATCCTGCTGCAGCAGAGATGCGTTTTCTATCAGTGTTGGTTTTGCTCTTTTTCACGTGCACCATCTTGGTTCTTCAAGTAGGCTTCCTCTTTTCCTTTGGGCCTAAGCTTCCCAGACCTGACTGGACAAAGCCACTTTGGCTTCTCTCAGACCTACCTAGAAAAGGCCCTTAGGAATGTTTTGAACTGTGCTTCTGTCCAGGCCAATGCCCCACAAAAACCTCTCTGGTCCGCATATATGCCATGTAAATTAATATTCTCTTCTAAGAGTCCAGATTTGGATGATCAGGATCTGGCACTCATTACCCTTGAGGCAAGATCCAGATCTAGACTAACCGTTTTAGAGGACCGTTTTAGAGGACTTCTAACATGGACCTCATCCCGCCAATCAATTTTCATAATTTTCTTGCCATTCTGGTATAGGTTCCAAAGGCTCAGATGAATGATTCTCCTTTCAAGAGAATCCTTTCTTTTGGCTAAAACCCAAATGGCTTTTCCGTTTATACTGGTATCCTCAGTAACATTAAAGGAAAGACCATATGACTTTGGTCCCATGGCGAAGCAGTATCCAAACACTCCTGGGGATTCAGATAGGGCACTTCCTGTTGTTGGTGGATACCAGTATTCTCTCAACTCAGAATCTGTGTTGCTTCTGTGACTTGATAGTTTCTTCCTTTCTCACCCCTAGCTAGAGGTAGATTTGGCTTTTCTCAGGGCTTGTGAAACCATATTCGTAAGATGTTGTAACAGAGGGAAAAAAATTGTGTAAGACTTCAATGGTCTACGTTGAAGAGAAAACTTCATAAATTTTTTGAAGATCTATATTGTCTTGGTTATATACTACAGCAGGGGAGGGCAAACTGTGGCCCGTCAGGGCTTTCAATCCGGCCCATGGGATTGCCAGCCCCATGGTGCAGCTGGGCTAAGGCAGGTTCCCTGGCCCCGTGCCGCTCCCAGAAGTGGCCGGCATCACGTCCCTGTGGCCCCCGGGGGAGGGAGGAGCAGAGGGTTCTGTGCGCTGCTGTTGTCTGCAGGCACTGTCCCTGCAGCTCCCATTGGCTGAGAACGGGGAACCTTTGGGAGGTGGTACCCGCAGGCGAGGGCAATGCGTGGCAGAGCCGCCTGCCCCACCCCACTCCCAGGAGCTACTGCTGGACATGCTGGCCACTTCCGAGAGTGGTGTGGGGCCAGGGCAGGCAGGAAGCCTGCCTTAGCCCCGCTGCGAGCCATTGCCACCCTGGAGCCGCTCGAGGTAAGTGGTGCCGGGCCAGAGCCCGAACCCCTCCTGCACCTCACACCCTAACCCCCTGCTCTGAGCCCCCTGCCGCATGCTGCACCCCAAGCCCCTGCCCCAGCCCTATGTTCATGGCCCTGCATACAATTTCCCCACCCAGATGTGGCACTCAGGCCAAAAAGTTTACCCACCCCTGTACTAGAGGGTTACATGCATGGTGCTTAGCCTACAGAAGCAACCAAGTATCTCTTTATTCTCCCCAAAAAGCTTCTTGTGTGCCACCCTCCCATCTTCCTGTATTTCTGGAACTCATTGCAACTGTCCCTTTCCGACTGTGTCAGGGGCTGTCTGTGCTCTGTCATTCCCCTTTCCCAGTACTAGAGTGCTCCATTCTCTTTCTCCGGGTCAGGGGCACTGTCCTTTTCATACAGGTTGTCCCATATGCCATGAACTCTGTTTTGGAGCCATGGCCAGAGATGATATTCAGGGGAGGGATTGGAGGAGGAGGTATTGTTGTGTGGGGAGGTATTAATGGCTGTCATCAACCAGTTCTTTGATCTATAGGCAACTGCAGAAGTGGTTGAAACTCCTGGGTCTGCTAACTAGATTCAGGGGGTCCATGGGGTGGGGCCTTCAGGTTTTCACCAAAATAAATAGGATTCTGCCCATTTATGTCTAGAACATTTCCTGAAATTTTGGAATTGATTGGATGTGGTGTTCTAAAGTTATCACATGAGAGACAGATGCTATAAAGTTGAGTGTAGGACCTCTCTTTGCTTGGCCAGCCAAGGTGCTGTGGCAAAAAGGGACAAAACTCTGCTGCAAGTACTCCTATATTCTGCTACATGGTTAATTTAATTTATCTCCATGAAATATCCTTAATTTCTTTCTCTGTCCTCCCCGAAAATATACACTAGTGTCTATTTCTGAGGATTTTATTTCTATAAGCTCCAGGTAGCCCAGCTCTGAGATTCTGTTCCTGTAATGTTGTTCTGGATGTTTCTCAGTATCTCCTGTCCTTCCCATTCCCTTGTGTGTCAGGAAGGGGAGGAATTTGTAACTGGCGTCAGCTCCTCACTGGTATATTGTTTTCCAGACATCTCCGCTCCCAGCCTACACTCTAGCTCCCCCCAGACTCCCTGGTAGCAAGCTGGGCTCCAGGTCTGGCTCCGTGACCCCATGCTGCCCAGGTCCAAGGAATGCTGCAGAGATTGTACACTGTAATCCAGCTAACTCCCTCTTGTGGGGAAAGCTGGAGAACAAGAGAGATGTAGACAATTCCTGGCAGGTCAGGAAGACAGGAAACTGTATCAGGCACCTAGCTGCAAATAACGTAAATTCAGTGCATCTACTGCTTTCCCCAAGATGCCACAGAATTACAGAGTCTCATGCATGGATGCCAGGTTTGTATAATTTTTGTTGGTGCCCAGAGTGGGTACAAGCCTCACCCCCTGACACCTGCCTTGTAAGCCAATATATTTTAAAACAATGTAAAAATGGACTGGAAACAGTAAGGGTTTAAGTTTCCCTATATTGCACAATGTGTGGTGGGGGTGTGGGGATGAGGGCTCTGGCTGGAGGTGGGGGTGAGGAGTTTGGGGTGTGGGAGGGGGCTCAGGGCTAGGGCAGAAGGTTGGGGTGTGCGGAGATGGGGGCTCTAGCTGGGGGTGAGGGCTCTGGGTTGGGGCTAGGAGTGTGGGAGGGGGCTCAGGGCTAGAACAGAGGGTTGGGGTATGGGGGGATGAGGGGTTTGGGTGTGGGGGGGGGCTCAGGGCTAGGGCAGAGGGTTAGGGTGTGTGGGGGGGTGAGGGCTGTGGCTGGGGGTTTGTGCCCTGGGGTGGGACTGGGGATGAGGAGTTTGGAGTGCAGGCAGGATGCTCAGGGGCTGGGGCCAGAGGAGGACCCTCCCTGAGTCCTCTCCCCACCGGCCAGGCCTGCCAACAGGGGATGGGTGTAAAGGGGGCAATTGCCCAGGGGCATGGGCGATTTAAAAGAGCCTGGGTGTCCTGGCCACTGCCGCGATAGTTCTGCCTGTTCTGGGGAAAAGCGTATCTTGATTCAAAGACTCTCTTGATATACCCCATGCAGGTTCTGGGGGAATAGCAAATACTGTTGCTTCAGCCACCCCGGAACCTGCATAGGGCATATCAAAAGCATCTTTGAATCAAGAGACGCTGTGGCGTTTCCCCAGAGCAAGTTGGGTCAACATAGCTGCCCTGGGGCTCCTCCAGGCAAGTGTGGGATGGGGCTGCGGCCGGCGGCAGTCCTCTGGCAGGGAGTGGGGACTCTCAAGGCTTCTCCGGGCAGGGGGGCTTGTGGCCCTGGCTGAGGGAGGGGGAGAAGGGAGCCCATTGATCTGCCCTGGGGCCCAGAATTGCTGTCGGTGGGCCTGCTGCTGGCAGCACACACATTGCACCGTTCTGCATGTGCTCCTAGGGCCCCTCTCTGCTGTCCCGCTGTGACACTGTGTGTGTGCTGCCCAGCGCTGGGGGGAGGAGGATGTGCCCCATCACCTAGTGGCCTGATTAGTGAAGCATCAGGGCCAGGTGGGGCTGCCATCATGTCAGGTGTGCATCCTCCCTCCGCAGACAGCAGCAGCAGCCACCTCAGCCTGCCCTGCTCCCTTGTAGTCTGAGCAGTGGAGTGGTGCTGGTGGGCACAGCATGAAAGGAGGCAGCCGGTGAGGTAGCACAGTGCAGGGAGCGACAGCCAGCTGCTGCCCAGGGTGCAGGGATGCTCCAGGGAAGGTACATGGGGGCAGTGGGCGGGGTCCGAACACTGGTGAAGCTGGGCACCTGTGCTCTGAACATTGGTGGAGCATGGGCACCACGGGCCCATATAACTTGCCGCCTATGGTGTCTTGGTCTGTAATTGAGATGGTTGGGCACGACAGCTCTCCCCAACACTGTTTCATGTTATCTGCAAACTTAGGACAACATTTCAACAGTTTCCACTAAGTTCATGTTTTCAGTCTTAACTTGACAACCGAAGGGCTAGACATTTAACTTAATTCAAAATGAAAGCTAAGATTCTGGAGCACAATATGTGGTGAGCAGTGAGTTCTGCAGATAATAATTTTTTTTCCCTACAATGATAGTTAATGTTCATTGTTTACTTTTAAAAATAAATAAATCTCCAAAACAAGCTTAGAATACTCTGTAACTCTGGATAATTCAGTGTGAATGTAATGAAGACTATGTAATTATGTAGAGTACTGTTTAAAAATATTACTGTAACTTAAGATGATCTATGGAGCTTCTATTTAAACTTGATTTGCCAATGTAGGAATCTTATAATTGATTTTGGCAAGCCAACCTTAAATCAGAAAAACTAAATTTTTATCTCAGTTGGCTGAGGCATGAAGTAATGTCCAGTTGTTCTACATAATTTGACTCTCAGTTCTGAAACCTCTGAACGTAACTACTTTAAAAGTTCTGAAGTTCTCCTGCAATAAGGTGAACTTTCTCTGTTTAAAGAGTAAACTTAGATTTTATACACTTAGGTGAAAGTACTGTTCGAACAATTGCCATGGATGGCACTGAAGGCTTAACCCGCGGGCAGAGAGTTCTGGACACGGGTGCGCCTATAAAAATTCCAGTTGGGCCAGAAACACTGGGAAGGATCATGAATGTAATTGGTGAGCCAATTGATGAAAGAGGACCTATTGCAACGAAACAGTGAGTATTTTTAAATTTAGTTGATTTGGAGAAGAAATTGCTGCTGTTAGTATATTGTTCTGAAGGTAGCCATTAAAGAAGTGGTGAGGGTGCAGGAATCCAAAGGCTTGTCTAAACGTAAAAGTTGTACCATATTAATTATACCAGTATAGTTAAAGCAGTTTGACCTCCCTAGTGTGGACGCAGTTTACTAGTTATAAAAGTGTCTATCGGTATAGTTTATTTCTGTATGGGAAGGAGTATAAGCTATACTGATATTAAATTAAAAAAAAACTACATAAAATTAACATTATGAAAATTGCAAAGTAAGCACTCAAAAGTTGGGAAATGCTAGAAGTAAGGTTCTTTGCAACCTTAATTTGGCCTCCTTGTATGTATGCGTCATGATAGTCTTTAGTTACATCTCCATGTACAGTAGAACCACAGAGTTACGAACTCCAGAGTTACAAACTGACCAGTCAACCACACACCTCATTTGGAACCAGAGGTACGCAATCAGGCAGCAGCAGAGATGACCCAAAAATAAAAGCAAGTACAGTACAGTACTGTGTTAAATGTAAACTACCAAAAAACGTAAAGGGAAAGCAGAGGTTCTACCGTACTACTTCCCCCCACCACCACCACCACAGGCCCCCTGCCTCATTCATTGTCCGGGTGGACCTACTCAGGGGATAAAGCAAGGTTGTGTACTGAGAGACCAGTCTGCAGGATCTCCTGCTTCAATTGTTGCAGAAGTGTGCAATGATAGAGGGAAAAGGGTGATCTGATGGCTAAAGCAGTTGAGTGCTGCCCTGGATATTTGGATTCTATCCCTACTTCTGCCACAGAGTCAAGCAATTTAAATAAATCTTTTCGCAAATGGTCACTAATTCTTTATTTTCTGGGTGATTGACATCAGACCCTGAGGTCTGACTTGCAGAAGTGGTGACCACTCTCAGGTGCATTTAAAATCAGGGGAGCTGTGCCTTGAGCTTAAGTGCTATATCATGCTAAGTCGTCTGGAAAAATTGGGTCCTATGTGTCTCAAATTAGACACCCAAAGTTAGTGGACACTTCTGACCTTCATCTCTCTGTGCCTCAGTTTCCATCTGTAAAATGGGTATGATATTCCTTCATCTCACAGGGATGTTGAGAAAATGATATTTAACTATAAGATACTGCATTAATAATTACTGAAACAATTGAAGAAATACTAGTCTACAGTACTAAATAGTAGTAAACTGAATACTACAAGCAAAGTCCAGCATCCTGCCAACAAAAGAAATTGGACTTGTAACCACCTAGTGAGGCCCCCCAAATATTACAGGTATTTGCCAGCTTGAGTGTGGAGGGGAAGATCATCTTTCTGTCACCCCCAAGCAAACAGAAAATAAACCTGGAAACTTGTGGTAGCTGTGCTTCTTCAACATTTACTGGGGATAGAATTTAGAGCACAGTCTACAGCTCAAGTAATTCCACTTAATGCTGGGGAATTCCCCAATAACTGGAGTGGGAGAAGGGATTTTTCCCTCCCTCATAGCCCAGATTGCAGGGGTGACAGCAGCAAAGGCCAATCTGTGTCTCCATGCCTCCTGTAGTTGGTTCCTTCATGCATGGGGAGAATGGCTAGTAGATCTATGCAGTGGAGGATCAACAGGCTCGGCTGTATGTGGGGAGCTGGGTTATGCAGCTAATAAAAGACTGCACCGGCATTCCTAATCACACTGGTTGTGCTGAAGGCAATGTCCTTTGCATCTGCAAAGGTGAAGCAGCGTATGCCCAATAAAGATAAGGAAGGGAATTTTAATTGTGATAAATCAGTACTTAAACTGAGATCATTTGAGATTATGTCCTGCCATGTTCACGAAACTGGTGTGACCTCCTTGTAAATAGTTAATGCAAAAACTCATTAGAGTATTAGTAAGAGCATCATTTTTCTGACACCAGAACAGTAGACTTTTCAGAAATATCTTAAAAGGTCAATATATTGCTGTGATGGTTCTCAAGGAACCCAGGACTGTGAGTCACCTTGCTTTACCCCCCTGCCTCCAGTGAGAGGGAGTCTATCTTGTGGTAGCTGGGTGTTTGTCTTTGTCTCCACCAGCCTTTCATCTGCTCAAGCACTCCCCTCTGAGCTATGCCAGCCCTAAATTCGCCTTGCAGATTAACTCTAGGTGCACCCCAAATCCCTGAATTCCTTTGAATCATTTCCTTGTGATATCCAGCTTGGGATATTGGCTACTCCCAGAAATTCCAGATCCTCTGCACCCAAAGATACAGTGTAACTCAGTTTACCAGTTTTACTGTAAACCACACAGCACTTACGATAAAATAAAAGCATGTTGTTTTTTTAAGAAAGAGTAAAGATTTCTTTAGAAACAAGAGTGTGTGGCAGAAACAGATGGTCGCAATGCAAAACAAAATCATAAAATGTGAGCCTAGGTCTATGCTTATGAATAGTTACTTTTCCTATGTTATAAAGTAGATTTCCGCCCACCCCAGAGTTCAGTCTGTTGCAGAGCTGGCTGGCTTCACAAGAACCAGGCTCCAAATGTTCATTAAAGCACTCCTGCTCCACATAGGGTTTCTTTGGTGAATGGTGATAGTCCTTTTCCAGCATCTGTGTTATACTGCCTTTTCTGTTTACAAGACAGGGATTCACCCTGTCTATCGAGTTTCTTTTGTACCTTTATGTTGTTTTGTTTTTTTGTCATTGCTTCTGATGGTTTTCCATTGAAAGCCTTAGTATTGTGCAAGGTTGAACAGTTGAACCTTGCATTGCATCACTTGCTAAAGAGGGCAGCATGGCAAATTCTCCTTGCCTGAATAGGCCTTCACCAAGACACATTATATCCTGGTGATTAATTTCTACTCAAGTCCATAAAGCATACTTTCAGTATAAATACATTATTCCTTAAATATTACCTGTACATGCCTCTCACAACAATTACGAATCTTGACAAATTATGAGCTTTCTTAGAGATTGTACATATTACTCTTTATGGATAAATAACCTGCAAGGTGTGTGTGTGTGTTGTAATGAATTTGTCAATTCTGGAGTAGGCTGTTTGCAGAGAACCGGATCCTTTGCCAACGGGTCTCTGTGTCACAATTGGCAAATCCAGTACTGTTTGAATTAGACACTTCTAATTCGTAATTTTTACTGATGGCGCTTCTAAATTTTACCTAGATGTAAACTTGATTTCTGTTTAGGGACCACTAATATAACCACCTTATTCAGTATCTCTTAAAAACAATTTTTTCTTGAAATTTTGATAGTAAAGACAAAAATATGTAAAATAGTTAAAGATCTTCTTTACAGGTTTGCATCTATTCATGCTGAAGCTCCTGAATTTCAAGATATGAGCGTTGAGCAAGAAATTCTTGTGACTGGTATTAAGGTTGTAGATTTATTGGCTCCATATGCCAAAGGAGGTAAAATTGGTAAGTTTCTCTTCTGAAGCAAATAGATATACTGTAAATTTATGCAACCAGTACTATACATAAAACATTCTGTACTTCAGTTTGAGGGAAACTAAGTTTGCTTTATATAAACTTTAAAATTTTAGTCTTATTCAGTTTCCTAAATCTGTGTGCTTACTAGAAAGTGTTCTAGTGCGGAAGATTAAACAAACTAGCTGTTGAAAATGGATTCTGCTAACAGCAGCAAATTTTAGATTGGTTTGTTTTGCTCTAGAGTTAGCTTAATATTCCTACACTGTTAACAGGCATTTTGAGGGATAATAGTGAAGTATTGTAGCTGGATGTAATTACATTAATTGACAATCTCAAACTGCAAACTCAATTGTATTGACAAAAATTGTTGTTTCAGGGCTCTTTGGTGGTGCTGGTGTAGGAAAAACTGTATTAATTATGGAACTTATTAACAATGTTGCTAAAGCCCATGGTGGCTACTCTGTCTTCGCTGGTGTAGGGGAGCGTACACGAGAGGGTAATGACTTGTATAATGAAATGATTGAATCTGGTGTCATCAACCTGAAGGATGCCACTTCCAAGGTAACTTTCAAAGGGTGTGAGTATTAAAACAAAACAAAACACACACCCTATTTGGCAACATACTATTTTAATACAATTTTTCCAAGAAAAAAACACTTTCTCTATGTGAGCAGTGACAATTTGACTTGTATATACATGCTAATTTTTATGTTCTTCCAGTTAGGCAGGTCCGCAGATTCTAATAGTGGACCTTCAATCAATCACCCTTGCTGCTTTAGTGGCGTACTAACTTATAAGATTAGAGTGAAAGTTTAGTCTTGTAAAAGTGTTCATACTTTTAGGGAAAAAATACTTACATTAATAAAGGGTTTTGTTGCTTAAAAAAAATTTAAAAATTACACAGCACATATGCCATTGTCATCTGGTCCCTGGCCTTTGCCTCCACAATTGGTCCAAGGCCTGTGGGTGTTGAATATAATACATCTCATTATATAGTGTTGATTATCTATAGAAAATGTAGTAGCCTAATTTTATTTCTGTAATTAAATTCCAGGTTTCACTTGTGTATGGTCAAATGAATGAGCCTCCAGGTGCCCGTGCCAGAGTAGCCCTGACTGGTTTGACAGTTGCTGAATATTTCCGTGATCAAGAAGGACAGGATGTGCTTCTCTTTATCGACAATATCTTCAGATTTACCCAGGCTGGTTCAGAGGTTAGTATTCATAATAAAAAGTTCCAGTACAATACTTACCTCAGAATCTAAAAACTACTCTTAGAGCTCTGAACCTGGAACCGCTTATTGTGCCCCTCGCCCCAAAAAAGAATGATGAAAACCTATCGAACACCAATTTTAAGCAAAAATTCAGTGTCTCCTCTTGCTTGGGAGGAGGGAACTCTGTATATGCCAGTCAAGTTTTGAAAAAAAGTTGCCTAGATATCTTCTTAGCTAGGTACAAAACCCTACAATTTTAAAGGGGAAGAATAAAGCCTTTAGGTGTATCCTCCCTCCCTATGACTTATACCAAGTGGCCCACACTTGATTGATTCCAAAGTCAAACAATTAAATTGCTCTTCAGAAGCATAGGATCAGGCCCAAGCCAACTTTAGAGTGGGTGTAGCAATATCCACAGAGTAACTGTAAATTCTTACTTTGACTTAAACAGAATAAAGACCTAAACACACCCAAACTTCACTTCCGAGCGTTTACCTCTATTAACTTAAAATAATACAAAACCCCCTCAGCCTAAGCTTTCTCTTGAGTTCAGTTTTTCCTAGAAGCTTTCTCCCTGCAGGACTCCTTCTTTCTTGGAGGTTGCAACTTTCTTGTATATTTGGTTTGCTAGTAATAAGACCTGGCTGAAAAGCATAGAGGACATACTATAGAAGTAATTAAGAGAGCAATTGAGGGTCTGAGTAAGGGGGAGTGGAGAAGGGGTGGCAAAGTGGTGACAAATTTCTGTTAGAACCCAAAATGGGAAGAGCAAAACACGGCTTAGTGCTGATGAGTAGCATGGCTTCTGGAGGCAGGGGCAATTATAGGCTGCCTTGACAGCACCATTTCTCTGGCTCCAGTTCAGTGTATGACTGGGTGAATGACTGGTGTGGGGGAAAGGAGGTGGCTAATATCCCAAACTAGCTGGTGTTGGGTCTGGTAGGGGAGAAACTGAAGAAGCAATAGATCCTCCAGTCAACATAGGCACCCAGCTGGTCCCAGTGTGGCAATGCTTAATGGCTGGAGTGGTGAAAGGTGTATGCAGTTTGGTGACCTTGTTGCTCCTGGGTAGACAAAAAATTAAACTGTGCCCATGGAGCAAGCTGTTGCTTCTGAAAGCCCCAGTTCCACCGCGCATGGTTGTATCCTTCCTTAACTGGTTTAATTTTTTATTGGGAGGTGTAGAAGCTCCAGCTGGCCTTACTGGGTCTCACTTTCAAGCTCCATTAAAACTACTTGAGTGACATAGAAAACTTTAGACAGTAGGAAAATTAGCCAAATAAGTTAAATATATCTTTATTTAAAAATAGATACAAAAGCGTTGTAGGCTTAACAGTTAGAATGATGCACACTCTTTATTCTGCATGCTGGACTACAAGCTTTTAATTATGGACTACATATGTCTTTCTGTTCACAGAATAAATATGCTCAGAAAGTGAATCACATATTGTATGTAGTACGTTTCTCATTGTAAACCTTGGGGGTTCTTGGGTTTTTTTGTTTTTGTTTTGTTTTTTTTAAAGTGGATTTCCTCAGGATAGGGAAAATTGCAACAACCCTGCTAAAGGGTGGGGATGTTGGTGTCCAGTGCCCAGAATGGCAGGCCCTGTGTGTGTCTGAAGGAGGTGGAAAGAAAAGGAGATGTATCCTTATATCACTCTTGCTATCTTTCTTTTATTTTCTTTGTGGGCACATAGTTCTGTTCTGCCTTCCTCTAATCCTCTATAATATCTCTCTGGCTCTTGTGCCTCCAAAATTCACCAACTTTTGATCATACCCTCTCTCTCCCTACTTCCTCTTTCTTGCTCTGCCCTCGTGAATGCACACAGTACTCCTGGTTTGTCGTCTGTAGCCAAGGAATAATAAACCTGCCTGCTGAAGTGAAAGAAGACCATTCCAACTTTCCTTCTTGCTGGAAGAATGAAATGGGGTACCATCCTGATTTTTGTCTCCACTCTTTCCATTTGGTGACTGAGTGTAAAGGCTGAGAGCAGACCTGCTAACTGTTTGCCGTCTTCCCACTCCACTTAGTATTGTGCCCTGTATGCTTCCTAACACTTTTTAAACAGCGCAGTTTAAGAACCTTTGATGTATCTGAGAAAATGAACTACAAGAGTTCTTTAACTTGCTACGTTATCTTCTCCTTTGATCTTCAGGTGTCTGCACTTCTTGGTCGTATCCCCTCTGCTGTAGGGTATCAGCCAACGTTGGCTACTGACATGGGAACAATGCAGGAAAGAATAACTACTACTAAAAAGGGATCAATTACATCAGTACAGGTATGGTGTTAAACAGGTATCTTTATATCAGTAAAGAGTTCGGTGCTTAGCTTCATGAGTAGAAGGTGAAGGTGGCAGTTAATAGTAGATATATTATGAGGCTTAACGAGTATTAGTTTTTTTACTAAGATCTTATACTTTGATTTTCAAAATGACTTATTTCAGGCTATCTACGTACCAGCTGATGACTTGACTGACCCTGCTCCAGCTACTACTTTTGCACATTTAGATGCTACTACAGTATTATCCCGTGCCATTGCTGAACTGGGTATCTATCCAGCAGTGGACCCTCTGGATTCTACTTCACGTATCATGGACCCTAACATTGTTGGCAGAGAGCATTATGATGTGGCTCGTGGTGTACAGAAGATTCTTCAGGTATCTTGTTAATTACATTTTCCCCAATGAATTTAATTCAAACTGGAGATAACTGAGTGTTAAGACTTAATCAGTGAAATTCAACTTTGATATCTAGTCTTTTGAATAAGTTGCAATATTAATGTATCTACACATGGTATCAAGAGATTATTTAATTTGAGTTGCCTCCTTTCTCCATAATAGGATTACAAATCCCTTCAAGATATTATTGCTATTTTGGGGATGGATGAATTGTCTGAGGAAGATAAACTAACTGTATCCCGGGCTCGAAAAATCCAGAGGTTTTTGTCTCAGCCTTTCCAGGTTGCTGAAGTCTTCACTGGCCATGCTGGAAAATTGGTGCCTTTGAAGGAAACAATCAAGGGATTCAAGAGCATTTTATCTGGTAAACCAATATATTTTTACTTGCATGATTTCCCCCAGTTTCAGAGCTGTATTCTGGAGATTATCAGTTTCCTTTAATATTTGACACTCACTTCTACAGACTACCTTATGCTTAAATGCATTCACTAAATGTTACTGCTTTAGTAAAATAGGGGGTGTTAGTTTCACATATGTATTGTAGTGGGGCCTAAGGGCCACAGCCTTATTGTGCGGAGCACTGTACAAACATAAAGAAGGTTCCTTCACCCAAGAGCTTAGTCTAAGTATAAGATGTGGGGCGAACAAGTGGATATGGAAATGGATGGGTGGAGCACTAGGCAATGATTCAGCCATGCCAGTGTGGAGTATGATGTGCAACATCTAGTGTTTAAGCAGTTAGTTCTCAAGTACAGATTTATAAAACAGGGGAAGGGATTGAAATCCAACTTGGCTCCCAGATTTCTTCCCCTTCCACTCCATTGTCAGAACCTTCCTGGCCCCTGCTTGCACCACCCCAAGCTGTTTGAGAGTCATTGCCTGGGTATCCTCTTCACTGATCCTCTGTACATGCCTTCATCGTGACTCTAGGCACTGTGCCACTTGCTAGTCCAAGCTGGTCCCTGCTGCATGATCCAGGGAGAATTAGGAAGACAAGGGAGCAGGATTTAGTGTTTGTCAGACAAGGGTGGGCAGGACACTTCAGTAGTTCAGTCTCTCTTCTTAGTAGCTTTGGGACCAATCTCCTTCCTCTTAACCCTTAGAACTGGACAGTATTCTAAAATCTAAACTATGCTGTCTGAAATGTGGCATTATATTGTTGCTGGGAGGGGAGGGGGGGGTCTCCCTTGTCATGGCAGCCCCCAAGCTAGGGCTGGGGAGGAGGGGGTGGGGGTTATCTCCGGCAGCCCTGGAGCTGGGGAAAGTTGCCTCTCTGGCCGCCGCAGCCTTGCACGTCCCAGATTTCCTCCACCCCCTCTTCTCACCCCACTGCCCCTTCCCCCTTACCCCCTATTGCCCCCAAGGCCACCACCTCACCTTACATGTGTGTCTTCTCCAGGGTCCAGGCACCTAAGGGCTCCATTAATTAGGTGGGTGGCCCTTCATTCTCTTGTGTGCGGCTGCCCAGGCCCGCACCTTGGAGGGAACAATCCACGGACCACCTGAATGGAGCTCGACGGACCGCTGCCCTAGAGAACCTCTGCCCTAGATGATTACTTTAGTTTCACTAGCGTAATTACTGACCCTAACAGCGCTACTTGCACCAGTGACTACATAGCCAGCCAGTGTTGTGGGAAGTTGCAGTAGTACACCTTTCAAGCACAGAGTACTAGTGATTCCTTACTTAGGGTTGCATTCTAAAATGAGGCATAAATGGCCAGTCACTCTGTGGGGGGGGGATTCAGGGGTTTATGCCCTTTGAATTTTCTATGTATACTGTTCATTTGTTTTTTTCCCTTCATGAGTTTAATAGGAAATCTGGGTTGGAAAACTTTTCCTTGGCAATCCTGCTAGTTGTAATTGAACAATATTCATTGAACTGTCAAATAAAAAACTTGGCTGGGAGGTGGTTGGATGATGGCTCTTAGTTATGACATGCATAAGCTTTTAGCCATTAGACAAGCCTGATTAATGGGGGCCACATGCATGCAGGCCTGACTGAAAAGGAGGTGGTGAAGCGGCTGAGTGCAAATAAAATCTTATCTGGGAGCTGCCCTTTTCTGTGAGATCTGTTGTAGGATAAGGGTTTCTCGTGCAGTTCTTGATGGATAAAATCTTTACTGACGGCAGCTGCCTTCCCACCTCTATACAGGCCCATCTCCACCCCCACTTAAGCATTTTAAAAAACCTAGGGAAAAAACCCCACAAAACTTGTTTGGAAGTAGATAGGGTTCTTACAACAGCATACTTGAGACAAATCCACAAAAGCCCTCTATTCCTGCACTCTTGGGCATGCATCTTACTATTACTGCCACTATAAGAAGTAGCAGACTATGCGCTGCAGCCTTCTCTCTGTCCTGGTAGGAATGATACCCTTCAGTCACCCCCTTAATTGTCCTCCTGCAAACATCCCTTTACCAAACTGTCCTCTAACAACACAACTGCTACACCAAACATGAATTACTAGTGTTGGAGAGGGGGAAAACCACTGGGGAAAAAAGGGTGTGCAGAAAGGGGTCAGAGTCAAAGGTTGTAATGTGCAGTCTGCAATGTACTGTGTTTGTGATAAAAGTAGGTGTGACTATCTGGTGGAGGAGTAAATATGTTGCTGGCTGGCTTCTAACAGCTTACCTTTTATATATTAAGGATGGCCTTGATAACCAAGGGCAAGATACTTCAGTGTAGGTTTTTTTAAGAAACTTTTTGCTACTGTGCTGTTTACATATCACTTAATCTGGCCCATAAAAATACTGTGTTCACTTTTGTTTTCTTGTTCTATGTATTACCACAATGTTAATGGTTGAGTTGCAAATAATAGCTAATTTTTAAAGTGAAACAAAGCTGAACACCTCTTACAAGTGTAGAAAACATACTGGATCTTGTAAACACTTTCACTTTTAAAAAACCCACGGTAAACTTTGGGAATCTACTACCTCAGTCTTCATAATATCTTTTTAACTTTCTTTCAACAATTGTCCTATTCAAATTGTGTCATTGTAGGTGAATTTGACCATCTACCAGAACAGGCTTTTTACATGGTTGGTCCTATTGAAGAAGTTGTTGCTAAAGCTCAGAAGCTGTCTGAAGAACATGCCTAAACTGGACTGTTATATTTGCATATGGTCTTCTAAATTTCTGATACATGTATACGTTGTATGTGTAAAACAGTTGTTCCAATCTCTGAGGTCTCTAGTTTTTTCACATCTACTGAAGAGAATTAAAGGCCTTTTTCGTACGTGTGAACATGCAGTATTATGTAAATGTCACCCAAATGTCTGTTACAAAAGCCAGACATCTTGTTAGTAAACATTGTGATATACAATTCCTCTGATTACTAGTTCTTTATTTTTGTTTAGATTAAGACTAATCTTTTGCCTCTGGAAATAATAATTTAAGGCTATCCTGAACATCAAAGTTAACTCATGAAAGTGGCATTTGAAAGGTGATGTGTGATTACTTTTTGATCCTTGGAAAAGCTTGATACCAAAAATAGTGCTGATTAACCTCATGCTGCATTTGCCCTGAATTAGTTTTTCTACTTGACACTTTTGGACTTTACATTTTTTGTTTATTTCTGTAATCTGAGGAATTGCACAAACACAATTTTACTGTAATCAGTTACAGTATTGCAAATGGAAAACTATTAACTCTACTTGTGTGTTCTTATAAAATTGGCCTGCTTCATAGTTCAATGAGCAAAAATTTTAATCCAGTTTTTTAAGACTAGAAAGGTTGACTACCCATAATTCATGTTAGCTTTTGATCAGAGGGACAGTGCTCCTGTCCAAACCAAATGTAAAACACATTTCTGGAAGTTGAACAAAATATTAAACAATTGTATTGAAAAGTGACACTTCTGAGATCATTAAAATGTTAAATTAAAAATTCACAAAAATAATCTGAAAGGGTAATCTCTTCACTGTGCCTAGTTGTTAAAAGGTAGAGTATGCGTGTTGATTTTATAAAAGGAAAACATAGGTTCAAAAGACTATGGCAAAGGATGGATGGAATGAGGGCATTAGTGTGATAATGTGTTGTGGTGATCTGGTCAGAGGAAAGGAAAGTTAGAGAAAGGAATTGTAATACTGTACTGTGAATGTGAAAGGAAATTACAGGAATTTGAAATGCTCCAAAAGCCTCTTACATCAGAGCTAAACCAAAAGACAGATTTAAACCACATATTAAGTGAGATTCAAACGGAGAACAATACTCTAAAAGCAAAAATAAAATAAAGCAGCTCCTCTGCATGCCAGATTGCTGCTAGCATATAACAGAAGGGTGATTTTACTGACACTAATTCAAGGAGCAATACTGATAAAGACCAAAACTAAATCAATTGGAAATGCCTTGAAAAACAAATCCAAGATTGGAACCTGGCACATATGGGGGAGAATTGAGGTAATTGGCCTCCTCCTCCTCTTCCTTCTAATCCAGACTTAAGGGCCAGTGCTTCCCTAGCCCCTCTCCAAGTAACCACCCGGTGACAGCAGATAAGAGTGTGTCTTATAATACTTATAAATGGTCAGGCTTTTAAACTCCATGACCCGCTAGGATCCAGTGGCCCCCTTGCTTGTCAGTACTGCTGATGCAGATATAAACCTCTCAAGGCCACGCTTACAAGCATGGATAAGGGGCCAGCCATGCACAATTCTCGTGGACATGGGAGCGTCAGTTTCCATTACTGACTACAACAGTACATTACCATTTCAGAGGTGGGGGTGCACAACTCATGGCTTATAAAAGCTACCCTGTTCTTGCAGAATCTAATCTATTCTTCTGGACTCAGTCTTTTTATGTAGCTCCAAATGCAGAGGGGACTATTTTGGGCATGGATGCCTTCTGCGACCTTGCAGCAACTCTTAACCTTGCCCAAAGTACAGTTACGTTTACTGATAAACTTATGCGTACTCATACCATTCCTCTCCGTAATAATAAAATTTCTCTCTTCTGTTGCAACTGCCAAATCCTTGCCTCTCACTTGGGACATCTCTAACCTTTTTCAAGAATTATGTTCCAGGCTCCCCTTTGTTTGGGCAGAAAAGTTTTCTTGCAGTTTGGTGCCTGCTCTTCTCTGTCCACCCGTCCCGGTTACTGGTCAACTCCCTCCACCTACCAAGCAATACCCTCTCAAACCTGAAGCCGTGGACACGGTAGGTGGCATTACTCACTCTTTACTGCAGCAAGGCAGACTGGTTCCCTGTTCCTCCCCCATCAACTCTCCCATCTGGCCAGTTAAAAAACCTGATAGTTCCTGGTGCCTACCATTGACATCCGCATGTTGGTTAACGGTGCAGTAAAACTTGCTCCTCTTGTTGCTGACCCATCAGTGGCCCTTTCGGGCCTTGACCCTTCATACTGTATTTTTACTGTGTTGGATATTGCTAACGGTTTCTAGAGCTTCCCCATTCACCCAGAATCACAGCCCTGGTTTGCATTCACCTTTGGCCCCACCCAGTATACTTGGGCCCGCCTGCCCCAAGGCTTCCACAACTCCTCTACCCTTTTTTACCGGGTTATGGCTCAGGCTCTCTCCTCGGTAAATTGGGCTGCTGCCAACTCTGCATGCTTACAATATGTTGATGATCTATTGCTTGCCTCCTCTATGGTCTCTGACCACTTATATGCCCTTCAACTGCTACTTCAGGCCTTGACAGATGCAGGTCTAAAGGCCAATCCTCGAAAGGCCCAGGTAGCTTTACCTACCATCTAATATCTGGGCTACGCGGTCTCCCAGGACTCAAAAGCCCTTACCTCAGACTGTCGAATTGCAATTGCAGCAGCCCCACAACAGTGCGTGAGCTATGCAAACTAATGGGGCTTCTCAACTTTTGCAGGCAGTATGTCCCATCCTCTTCCACCTTAGCACAACCTCTCGATCTCCTTAAAGGGGCCCAAGACTCCTCAGACCTCATTTCTTGGTCACCAGAACATGACCACTGCTTAACCAAACTTAAAATATCCCTTCTCTCTGCCACTTGGGTTTCCCCACCCCTCAGTACCATTTGAACTTTGGACACACGTACAGGTTGGCCATGCTGCTGCTTACTCAAAACCATGGCGACAGGTGCTGCCCAGTGGCCTATTTCTCTGCTTTAGTCTTTAACCACTGCCTCCAAGCTGTGGAGGCAGCTTCTTGTGCCATAACTGTCACAGCCCCTCTAGTCTCTGGGGCCCCTCTTACAATCTTTGTGCCACATGTGGTTCATAAAATCCTGGATGGGGGGGCCAAATTTCAAAAATCACCTCGGCCTAATGGTTCAAGTGGGAGTGCACCCTCTTAAGCCCACACATTACAATTGCACATTCTAACCAGGATTAACATTTAATCCTGCTACTTTGATGCCAACCACAGGGGAACCTTATCAGTACCCTCTTTCTGAGGATACTATTGTTAAGGACCAATTTTATATCTGAACAGCCATTGCCCTTCTCCGATTTTGTTCTATGTTAATGGCCAACCTTACATCGGCTGGGCAGTTTGCAACCTGTCAGGTACATATCTCCACTCCGCTCCCTTGCCTCAGTCCTGTTCGGCCCAAGTGGCAGAATTGGTGGCCCTAACACAGGCCTGCCTTCTAGCTGAAGGCCACTAAGTAACTATTTACAAGGATAGCCGCTATGCATTCGGGGTGGTTCATGACTATTTGGATTCCTGGACTAACAGAGGGGGTTAAAATGGGGGGTATGTCACAAATTTATTGGAAGCAATCCAAAAGCCATCCAAAGTCGCCATAGTCAAAATCAAGGCATACCAGAAACAACGATCCTCTTTCCCTTGCAAAGCAGGCGGCTAAAGAGACTGCCACAATGCCCTAGGACAATTTCCAAATAGCAGCCACCCAAATCCCTAATTTAAAGCAAATTTCTCTACCTGAGATACAAGAGCAAAGCCCTAAAGAAGAAAAATGACATGGTATGAAAATGCCTGCAAAATTGAAAAATCCAACACCTGGGTCACAAAAGATCAACAGTTTGTGACTCCTAGAGCAATTATAGCTCACCTTTGTGATCCAAAGCACCTGCCAACACATCCAAACCCAAAAGCTATGCTGCACCACATAAAGGGAAAGTGGTGGAGGCCTAAAATGGCTGGACATACATGACCACTGTCAACGATACCTCGATGTGCCAAATGTAATGGAGGCAAAAAGCTTAAAGTAGCTATAAGGCATCCGCCTCGACCCACAGGCCCTATGCAAAAAATTCAAATTGACTTTGTAGGTCCCTTGCCATCTGCAAAAGGAAAAAAAATATTGCTTGGTTCTAATTGATCACTTTACTCAATGGATTGAAGCTTCCCCACAGCTAAGAGTGATGCAGGAATGGTGGTCTGGATCCTGGCCAATGAATTCTGCCCCTGATGGGGCTTACCCTGTTCAATAGATTCAGACTAGGGAACGCATTTTACAGGACGAATTATGAAGGTGGTCTGCTCTGCCTTGGGCATTAAACAAAAATTCTGCTGTCCATGCCACCCTGAAAGTTCTGAATTGGTAGAATAAGCAAACTAAGCTCTAAAGAAAAAGATCACAAAGCCTTTACTATCTCAAGGAACCAACTGGGTAGCATAACTACCTGCTGCCGTTCTTTCCATGAGGGCAACCCCCAACTGCTAGTACAGGAGTTTCACCCTTCGAACTTATTACTGGAATGACCATGTCTCTATGGGAAGGATGTGTAGTCCTGGCTCCCCTTCCCCTGATCTCTGATACTGCACAGGAATATATCCAATGCCAAAATGAAGTCTTGCACTCCGTAAGACTAACTGTCCAAGACTGACAAGAAGCCCAGGACCCTCCAAAGACTCCCTCCTGGGTGGACATACAGGAGGGAGTTCCGGTCATGGTAAGAACATACAACGCTGGAGTACTTCAGCCAAAGTACTCTGGCCCGCACATGGTATTGGACCATACAGACACCTCTGTGAAGGTGTAGGGAATCCCAACGTGGGTTCATAAAACCAGAATTAAAATGTATAAATAAATTCATTTTGTTTACATTGTATTCTTCTAGGTGACAAATGTGGCTCTCCACGTTAATCCTCCTGGCAAGTGTACCTGGTGCAGCCTCCTGGGACCCGCCTTTGGTAAATGTCACGAGAGACACCTGCTTCAAAGCTGACCAGTATGTGCAACTCCCTACAAGAGGCAGCGGTGAATGGGTGAAGAAACCAGACACTTGGTTTATCCCCAGACTGGATTACCTGGGACCAAGGTCACGATCCGACTACCACAGTCTTCGGCTCCCTCACTGCATCTGGACTGTAACTGGGTATTTAGCTTCAGGGGATGTGGGCACACACATATAGGACCCCCAATTTCGGGATGCAAGATCACAGAACGTTGGGAAAAGGACCAAAGGACAGTGTCAATTTAAGGATATCCCCCCTAGAACAAACAAACTATTCTATTTCCAGGGCCTTGGATGGATCAGTCAAGATTCACACCATTTATGAAGCCGCTAATGGGTTGGGAGAATATAGGTGTGAATGTTTGTGGGAGAGTTGGGCACTTTTCATTAATCTAACTGTGTCTGTAGATGCAGGATGGATGGATGTTCCTCCTCTGCTGCAGGAACTTGGGATGGAGGGACGTTATTGTCAGGTTAAATGTTTACATTGTACTGATATACAATATTATAACCTGACCACTTATGGATACTCCCTGCCTACTATCTGTCCGGCACTGTAGCCTACGCCACCAGATGGCATTATCTAAGTAGGCCCCAATGAAACACTTTTGTATGATGCCCTTATGGTCTCTGTTCAGGTTAAATATGATTTGTCCAGATTTTTGGCACCTTTGCAAAATGTGTGCTCAGATCACCCCAGCTCCCTGCAATGGCTGTAGGTCCGGCTGCAGAATCAGCTCCAGTTTCTAATGCACAGTATGTTGTTTGGCCCCACATAGACAAAAACGGAGCATCTTAAGTGATATTGGAAGATGCTTTGGCAGCACCAATTCTATACTAAATATGCTTAACCTAAACTCTGAAAGGTCATACAATTCTTGGGACAAAAGCCAAACCACCCAACTCCTTAAACATACGAACACAGGTTTATCTTATGCTCTTACTGCAATTGATGTAGCAATAGTGGATTTTTACAAAATCATTGAAGAGACCTCAGACGCTATAGTCACCTTGGCCAAGTCAGAAGCTAAAGGCCGTGCTTGTTGTATGTTAGCTTGTGACCCCTTTAATATTGCAAAAGAAGACATGCTAGATGTATGCCTGGCTATCCCCCCTTCCCATACCTTTTCTTCCCCTACCCTTGCCCACATTGCAAGCATTTTCACTCAATTGATAGTGGGCTCTTTACTTCCTCCAGATTCATCCTTCTCCTTTAATTTCCTCCTTGTATATCCCTCTGTTATTCCTAGTCATGTGTTTCCTTTTTCTTTCTGTTTCAAGTCTATCGGATATGTAACTAACAATATGGTGTACAGAGTAGGACTGTCTGGATACCTGGCACCATCACCCATAATACCACACTAATGACAACATCAGACTGCTGCACAGAGACGGATAGCTATATCGTGTGTTCCTGGTCTACTTTCTGTCCTTTACCTCTGTCCACTTCCATTCTTTTGGATGTCCTTCCTCTGACAGATGTTGAAGCTGCTGTGCAAGTATCAGCCACTCAGTGTTTTATCACCGCTTCATGCAAATACATGTATGGACCCCTGCAGTGCCAGGCAAATGCTTCCATGTGCCTGCAGATTACTGACTCGTTTACCCTAAGTGATGTGCACCTCCCTGGCCGTGTGTTCACTGGAATTACAGTGGCTCCTCGGTGGTATGACCGGAGAACATGCCAGTTCGACTGGCCAAGGAGCTACTACTCAAAGTGGTCCTGGCTGCAGCTTCTGTGTCTACCACCGTTCATGACAGCACCACTAAAGGCCGCATCCAAGTTCAATTTTCCAATTACCAGACTGGAAGATCCTGTTCGTAATGCAGCCTACAACCCTCTCTCCTAGTAGACTATTGTACAAATAGCAGCCGCTGCTGCTTCTATTTTTGTGTTACTAGCCTCGAGTGTCATGTGTGGTTATTTCAGACACATGCTTAAAAATCTCAGTATGCTTCCTACCCTGTCCCCTTCCTCCGACTCCCCTCTTCCTCCTCTCTCCCAGTCCCCCCTTGGGTAACCCTAAAATCGATCATGTGTACCAAGCGTTTAAGTATTGACTACATCTCATCTAGGAGTTTATTTGTCAAACAGGAGGGAACTGTTAGGCAAGAATTAAAATTCAGTTAGCAGCTGAGACAGAAACCCACGTAACTAAGAAGCAGGAACACCGGAAGCCCAAGGATGCTGGCAGCTGTAAACACTTGATAAATGTGTATGGTCAAATGGCTGCCCAGTAACTCGGCTCTTAGAACAGAACAAACCCCCCCCCCTTCACAGCCCTCCAGATATCTGTAAACACTCACCCCACCCCACCCCTTCGCCTAAAGGACAGTTATAGATAATGATGTAATCAAAATAGTTTTGATGCATATGTTCTCTTTCTGTCATCATGTTAAGTATGTTCTCTGTCTCTGAAACAATGTTTGTCTCTGTAAGAACAAGGTAAATGCAAATGAAGCGGTAAGAGAAAGGTATATAATTGGTCACTGTAACCCCACACTTTTGAAGCTGTCTTGTCAGTCTTCCCGGTGCAGTGAATAAATCCCTTCAGTATTGTCTGTGCCTGTCTGATTCTTGGGGAAAAGAATCTCCATGCTTCACAGCATCAAGAGAATAGCTGTCCTTCTGTAAAGAATGCATCAATGCAGAGCACTGAAATTAGCAAAACCTTATGCACAAGGAAGGCTGCTAGGGAAAGCAGCAAGCCTTGGCTGATTGGGGAAACAGCCACAGCTGTGGCCACACCCCAATCAGGGTCCAGCTGGCCTTTATAAGAGGGCAGTAGGCCAGTAGGACACAGTCTCTCTCTAGATGTTGAGAGGGAGGGGCCTGACTGCTGGGAGCTGAGGAGGGTACCTAAAATGGAGCAGGGCTGGGGAAAGGCCAGAGGAGCTGGGGAGCTCTGGCCTGAGAAACCCCCAGGCTGCAGGCCTTGATGAAGGCCTAGGAAAAGGGTACTGGGGTTGCAGAGGGCAGCCCCAGGGTAGGCAGAAGCAGCAGGTCCAGACCCTCCTTGCTGATGATGAGTGGCAATTATACAGCAGTCTGCCCCAGGGAGCGGGGGCTACATGGTGACTGGCAGTAGCCAAAGACTGAGACGAGGTGGGGATAGAGGGTTGGAGTTCCCCGGGGGTGGGGAGACCCAACTCTGTGGGGGTACTGCCAGGGGGCAGCACTCCGGTGTGAAAGGAGCACCGGGATCCGGGAGGGACTTGGGGCCCAGCGGCTGTTATACCAATAAAGTAAAAACCAGCAGGATCTTATTAAAGGGGAAAAGGCAAAATGCCACATTTATTGTGAATACAGAAAGAATCCTAGTAAGCAGTTAGTTATAGCTAAACTTTCCATTCAATTTCATATTTATTCACACATTCATTCATACACACACACAGAGGTTCTGCAAGGTTGTTATCATAGTTACCAGCCTTAGAGTTGCTCATATCAAGCCACGGGCCAGGTGGCCGAGACATGAAGAGGGAGCAGGGCCTTGTCAGATGCTCATCTGATGCTCCTGGAAGTTGGTTTGCAGAATCAGACCCCAAAGTTCTCACTTTCTAGAGTCCATTTTTATAGGAATTTCTTCCTATGCCAGTCTATGGGAATTGCTTCATCATGCTGTTGCTGAATCAATCAGCAGATGGCACATTCCTGATGGCTCCATGCTGCCAGATGTTATCTGGTTCTCCCATTCCCGAGGCCGCTGGGTGGATTCCAGTCTGCCCTCCGGGGGTCCCCTGGCCACCTCCACTTGATGTCTTCCTCAGCCGATGGACACCGGACTCTTAAGCTGGCACCTCCCCGATCACTCAGCCACCATCCACACCAAGCATCCATCCACACACATCCTCCATCTCTATCCTAATCACAATTGTCAACAAAGCGAGATGAACACAACAAAAGGGCGGGGAGTCTGTGGGTGCTGCTTCTGTTGTTACAGAGTATTGCTTTGAGTCTCTCTCTGTGTGAGTAGCTGCTGTTTACAAAGAATTGCCTTGAGAACAGACTCTGTCCCAGAATGCACCAACACAATTAGCAGCCTGCAAGCTTCACACACAGAGGGAGAGAAACAGCACCAAAAACCAAGAGACCTCCCAACCAGCAACACCCTGGAATTCAAACCATGGGGAACCAAACTCATCCGCGACTCCAACACAGAACCTCTCCAACATGATCCAACACGGCAAGCGGGACACCAGCCTGCAGAGGGCGCACTGGAAACGCTAATTCCTTGGACGACCAGCAGGAGGTAGTTGCCCCGCTACAAGGACTATTAATGATATAGCTGCTTCCATTTTGAGGGCCTTTATCTACATGCAGTACCTTATCAATAACTGCATGTTGGCCTGCGTTAAGACTGATACTTATGCTATTTTTTATTCAGGTAAGGAATTAAATTTTACCTAATACATGCAGGAACAATTTAAGTGTCTAAAAGTATAATGCTGTGATGTAGCTCATAAAATAGATCTACTTATTTGTATCCTGGAACATGCAGATGTTACAAGTACAGAACTGACCAGCTAATTCAATGGTACTACTGTTCTAGGCCTAATAGAAAACATTTTCTCTGCCCCAAATAGTCTACTTGGAATGAAAGTGCCAATCACTGCCTTGTGGTACTAAACATCACGCTGATAGTAATCACGAACAGCCAACTTACCCAGTTTGACTGGATTCATTTGGAAGATCATTCTATAGGACTGAGGTTACATGTTCTAAAGATGCAAGTAGCCAAAAAATCTCAAAACATTTAATTATCTGTGGAGAATTCTGGGAGGGAGGGAAATTTCTGGTCAGCAGTTCAGAAGCTTGGTTTGGCCTGTGAGAACATCTGGGTGGTGGCTAACAGACAGCTGTTTCCATTAGCTCCTCTTTGATGTATTAATAGGTGACATTCACTTTTGTCTGGGACTCTTCAGGTTGAGAGTCTTTCTGTGTATGATTGAGCACCTGAAAGACTGTCTTTCATAAGTTAATATATTTTTGTCAGGTCATATCAATATTTGCCTTGCTGGTATTTGCTACTTTCATGGATACATATATAGATATGTACTCACTCAGTTTCAGATACTTAGCATATACTGATCTCATTTATTTTAAAAGTGAGATGGAAATGAGGCATTGACATACTTACGAGGTATGGGTGCAGGCACATGTCTAATGACTCCATGTATTTGGTGAATTTTTAAGTGTACATGTGAGCAAAAAATTGTAATCCAACAACTTGTTAATATTGGGTGAAAGGGAGAATAAAGGTCATCTTGTAGATGAAAGGTGAACTGTGAGCATGGGAGTCTTCCATGCTACAGCCAAATGTATTTCCAGCAAGTAGTCGGATGTATGCTATGTGACTGTAATTTAATGAGTGTGATAACTTGTGTCCACAATACATCCTTCATGTTAAAGCTGTTGGTGTTTATAGGTAATTCTCTTAAGTAACTGAATGTTACATGTTATCCATGAAAAAGCTGCATGAAATGAACAACAAAGGAGGCATAGACAGTAAACAAATTGTCACACTTTACTGTAAATCACATAATTCATGTCCTAGTGGATGGGACTGACAGGAGTGTACTCCAAAGTTAACAATGTTAAACACAAAATTTAATTTACACATTCAACTTCATTGTTGGGAAACTACAACTTTTTGCACTGTTAACCTAGTATAATAGAAAAACATGAAATAAGACTTTATATCTTAAATGGCAAATTACTAAAATTAAACTTTTAACAGCTTGATCAAAAACACTGTCTTGTCACCCATTAAAATGACATGAAGGTGTTAATTTGTTCTAATTACTATTGTGATACATTTGCAAGCTGAAGAACCCAACTGCATTCTTTTTGGCCTAGTTCTCATTACTGGAAATGTATTACTAATAAAAGAGTACTGAAATGAGACAGTGATGAGAGCTGTGAAACCAATGGTGAGAGTTACAAACCAATGATGAGAGCTATGAAAATCTCTCTATTTTAGTTACGTGTTAGAGTATTGCAGTGACCTATTACCTTTAGATTACTCAATAGTAAGGGTGGCAGAAGTGAACTATCTATGAAGGAGGGTTAAAACAAAGTGCTTTTACATATATGTCCATACAGAGAGAAAGTAAGAGGAATAAACAGACTATGGTGTTTTCTTTTTTTAATTAAACCAGTAAATAATTTATACATGGCACCTATTACCATGGTGAATTTTCAGTTGTTTTTGGTTAAATGTATGGCTGAGCTGCTTTGAAGTTCTGACTCTCAAAAACTTCAGGAAAAGCTACAGAAAATAGCTAGATAGAAAGGAAGAAATTAGGTAAAGGTTTGGCCACTGGGTGTCAATCTTGATTCAGGTTTAGCTCAGTTTAGCAATAAAGATGTTTCTACAATCTTGATAGTATAATTGTGATTTACCTCTAGGTAACTTTCAGAGCAAACCAACTGAATCATCAGTACAAAGATTTGTCTTCTCCTTTTGAAAACTTCTGCAAACAGATAGAAACCAGTTGTAGTGGGTCTGTCCTGGGGAATATGAGAGCCATAACTTTATTACTGCTTAGTGCATATAACACCAAAGTAGGGTGTCTACTTCTTTTACTCCCATCTGAACTTTTAAATACTTTTGGGGGGATTGAGTTTTGCATGGCTTGGGAGCAGGATGGGTTGCAACATGGTATATATATTCATCTACAACCACCACTCTATGGGATGGCATCAAGCTGGTTAAGGCTGACACATTCGGAATTGTTTTACAAAGCATAGGTTACCTTGAAGGGTCCTTGCCATGGAGAGAGAGGGTGAAGGCTGAGGCCAGCAAGCACTGAGGGTAGTGAGAGAGAGGTCAGTTGCATAGATGACCCTGGCCACTGAAACTCTTGAGATAAATAGGTTTAAGTGGCTGACCCCCTAGCCAGTTTAATGAATATCCTGTCCTACACATACGTTTTCCCCATGTATTTGGTCCCTTTTACAACTATTCTTTCATCATTTGATGGAACTTCAGCCATGCATTCTGAAACTCAGCAGAAAAGAATTTTCTACTGTTCTCTTGCAATCTAGTTTGTCATCTTCTGGATGTGGTGGTTTGGATGCCCACTTGAATCTCAGTGCCTCTAGACTGGTGGACAGTCCCAACCGTATTGTTTGTGTGATGGTGGTGGAGCTTCCATTTGCCTCTCCTCAGCCTACTTTGAACTTGGTTATAGATGCCCATCTGGGATCACTGCAGCCTCAAGGTCCATGGTCTGCCCAGGATTTAACTCTTCACGTAGATGTAAGAGAACTTAGAGCCATTTGATAAGGTTGTCATGCTTTCCTTCCCTGTATCACAGAAAGGAATTTGCCAATGCTTATAGACAATACAGTGATCATATTTTATGTGCACAGGCAGGGAGGGGCCCTGCCAACTCTATGCCAAGAAGCAGTGCTACTATGGGGCTCTTGAGCTGATGACACAATCCACCTCAAAACATCCCAGCTTCCAGGTGTCTAGAACAGTTAGATGGACCAGTTGAACAGGTCTTTTCACCAGCCACCACAAGTGGTCTCTCTGCCCAGATGTAGCCAGTTTCAT